TATAGTTAACATCATAGAGATTTTGCCCCAAATTCTAATATAGAAATTGTGCCGATCTTATCCGGATCAGCAATTAATTAAGAATTCATAGGACTAAAATAAAAAAAATTCATCAGATTTGGATAGATATGTATCGAGGTAGCTAAAGGAAAAAATCACCTGATTTTAGCTTTTTTCTTGATATTCGAGGATTTTTTTAAACTTTTACCAAAGATTCTCAACAACCATTAAACCAAATCTAATACATTTTTTATTTTAATTCCCCGAATATAGAATTTAAAAAAAACTACTGAATTTAATTAAGTAGTAATTAAGAAATTATCACAAAAATTATCGTTATAAAAATTTTCAAATCTTAAAAGGATCGATGCAAATAAAGCCGTGATCTGATTGGTTATGTTTAGATAGATATTCAACAAACCAGACACAGATTCAAAATTTGCTATTATTACATACTATATTACTATGTGCTTCATATTGTATTACTGCATCTAGAGATGTGTTTCATGTGTGCGTATGATTCCTTAATCGTGTACATTTTATCTCATCTAAATTTTATATAGGAAAATTAAAGTATTTATAATTTAGGCCAGGGAGCATATTGTTGGGCAAAATTAAGAAAATGAATACAAAAGCCTCGAAAAATTCTGAAAAGATAATGAATGAACGTAAAATAAGTGCAAGAATAGAGTAAAATTTATGTACTATCAGATATTTTCTGAAGGGAAAAAAATAAATTCCAAAAATTATATCATGCGATATCATACGCATTTCCTCTATCAATAATTGCATTCTTCCTTCAGACATTATCTAAATAAGGAAATATAAAATAAAAATTAAAAGGAACTTAATACTGGCATATAGTAATAATATCAACTTTACTTAGAATCAAAAAATATATATATTATTTGATTCGTCTTAGTAAGACTGGTTCTGATCATTATATCGCAAGAGGACCCCGAACAATATATATAGGGGGTGTCAGTAGAAACTAATCAAATTGAAAATTTTTCAAAAATGATTTTTTTTTATTTAGCTAATGTAAAAATTAATGAAGAACATTTTTGACTTAGTAATGGGCTTCGTATTAATTAATAAAAATTTAAGATATTTGAGTTTAAATAATTTGGCTGAAAATAGATCATCTGATCTTAGTTATATTGGAAATGATCATCTGATCTTAGTTAGATCGACAATAGAAATTGCTATCTAGAGTTTGCTGACCAATTTACATTAAACAATTAATGATCACCTTGATCAGATCATACCATAAACAAGGTCGACTAGGTCAGGCTGTCGATATTGTTTATATGAGTTTGTATAACACAACACAAAAATCAATGTTTTAACATTGTTAACACTCTACTATTTGGTCGAGGTAGGACTGTATATATTACACAAATAATCCAATTGATAAAAAAAATTTTTTTTATACGTTTTACAATACTTTTTTTAGAAGCTCGGGTAATCTAACTGTATAGTAAAGAGGAAAAGGTTTACTAAGCAAACTTGAAGCCTTCACTCTGCCCTACAACATGTTCACTTAATTCATCTTAATCCACCAACCTTCTTAGTGTGATATTTCTACCAAAGTTATAAAAATTGTAAGAAACTTTAGGTAACTACCTTGCTAAAATTTCAGTTGTTGTGTGAAAAAAAAAGTTAAAAATATTTAGAATAACAATTAGTAAAGGTAATGTAGACAAAGAATATAAATTTATATTACTTTTGTTGTATATATTATACAAAACGTTTTTAAAAAATGATATAAAATTATATATATATTAGTATGTGTAACTAATTAATTTCAAATTTTTGGTATTTTAGGTCATAAAAATCTAGATGTGAAAAGAAACTTAAATGTATTTGTGTGTATAACAACATTAAAGGTTTTTTTAATTAGTGGTGTATAATAAAAAATTGTACAGGATATTTAGGTTCTAAAATTCAATATATAGTTAAATATATAAGATATTGTATAAGAGACTATAGCGACTTCATTAATGATGATGATAATTTAGTTAACAAATTATCTAAATTTTAAATATAAGATTTAATTAAATTTCTTTAATTTCGCTTCAATTTCGTTGATTTTAATCTTTTTAAAATTTTGATTGTTGATCAATATGTGATCCACATTGCATATTGTTTGATTGGTTAAATTGATACAGTTCTGAGTTACCAAGGCTTTCCATATTTGGAACGGTCTTACCTGTAACTATTTGGCAGTTGTCCATCACTAATTAATTTTGCTGACGTTTTTTGCCTGCGAAGCAGGCAAAAACGTCAGTAAAAATAATTAGTGACAGAAAATATCAAATAGTAAAGGGTAAAAAAAAAAGTTTTTTTTAAATTAAAGAAAGAGCAAAAGAAGGAGAAAAAGGGACAGGGAGGGACAGAACGAGAGGAACAGAGAGGGAGGAGGAGAGTGTGTAGAAGTGGGGATGTGGGTGTGGGATGGAGAGAGAAAAAGAAAGAGAAGTGGAAAAAGAGGGTAGGAAAAGAGAAAAAAGAACGAAAAGCAAAGAAATATAGAAAGAGCGAAAGAAGAAGTAAGAAAGAAAAATTTAAACTCTGATGAAGTTACGTGACTTCAGATTTCGCATTCTTGTGAAATTGAAAGAGTTTCAAACTCTGCTAAATGGAGTTTAAAACTCTGACCAAGTGGCAAATCTGAATTCCCACAAAATTGACAAAATTTAAACTTCGTTTAATCGGAGTTTTAAATTTTAAAAAAAATTAAATTAAAAAAAAACTAAAAAATAAAAAAACAATTATTATAAAACGCACCTATAGTGTTTTAGCACCTATGTATAATTTCTTTTAATAAAATTTAGAGTTAGGGTTAGAAAATTAAGAATTATTTTTTTTTATATAATAT